AATAATCATCTATGAATGATACAAAGTATTGTTGAGCATTCCAAGAAGGTATAGAAAACGGCTCGCAAATATCCGTATGTATCAATTCTAAGACGACTGTAGCTCTATATGCTCCTAATTTCTTTGTTTTGGTTAATTCTAGGTGACCCCGACATTGTGTACTGAGGGACAATTCCACACTCCTCTAAGAATCTGGAAAATGGTCCCGGACGTTGTTCACCTGAACCGTCATATCTGCCATAGTATTCACCACCACGATCAGATTTGACTTGCTTTATTGTTTTGCTTAGTTGGTTTTACTTCAGCCTTATAAGATTTGAACTCGTCCAATACTTGGGACTTCTCATGAATAAGAAATAGGTATGCATATCTTGAATAATCATCTGTGAATGATACAAAGTATTGTTGACCATTCCAAGAAGGTATAGAAACCGGCCCACAAATATCCGTATGTATCAATTCTAAGACGCCTGTAGCTCTATATGCTCCTAATTTGTTTGTTTTGGTCTGTTTTCCCTTAATGCAGTCAATACAAATATTAAAGTCTGTAAAATCAATGGAACTTAGAATTTCATCTGATACAAGTCTTTCAACTCTATTTCTAGAGATGTGACCTAAACGCTTGTGTCATAATGTTCCTGAACTTTCATTTTCAATTTTACGCTTAGTACCACGTGATTCCACATTCAGAGTTTCGTGATAAGAAGCAACAGTATCAAGCAAATAAAGATTGCCACAAACCATAAGCGAACCAGTTCCAATAATATTAGAATTAATAGATAAACTGAAACAACTATTTTGAAATGAACAACAATAACTCAATTTGTCCAAACAAGAAACAGAAACCAAATTCCTTCTAAATGATGGTACAAAAAAATTATCTATCAAATCCAAATAGTAACCAGTACTTAATAACAACCTGAAATGCCCAATTGCTTCCACTTCTACCGATTTACCATCTCCTACATAAATGCATCTTTCAGCATCATTTGGTTTGGTTTTCGGTAGCTTCGGTAGCTCAGGCAAGCATGCAGTGAACCACTTATATTAGTAGTAGCACCAGAGTCTAAACACCAAGTGTTTCTTAGTACTGAAGCTAAATTTACCTCAGAACAGACCAAAGTTAGAAATGTACCTTTCTTCGCACGCCAAGTGTGATATTTTGGACATTCCTTCTTCTGATGTCCTTCCTTATTGCAAAAGAAACAACCTCCACTTTTAGGATTTTGAGATTGAACTTTATTTTGTTTCTTTTGAGAAGGACCCTTATTCTTAGCAGCCTCATTCTTTCTTTTAGTGCCCCATTCTTTAGAGGTGTTTACCAAATGAGCACTATCAGTCTTTCCATTCTTTAACTTGTCTTCCTCTTGCACACAATGTGAAATAAGCTCATTAAGAGTTCATTTATCCTTTTGCATATTATAGCTGACCAGGAATTGGCCAAACTGTGGAGGAAGAGAAATAAGAACTAAATGCACGAGTAAATCATTCGGCAACTCGAGCTTTAGCAACTTCAGTTTTGAAGCAATGTTAGACATCTTAACGATATACTCTCTTATACTTTCCTTACCTCTGAACCTCATTGAAATCAATTTCTTTAAAAGAATACCAGTTTCAGCCTTATTATTTTTTTGCAAAGCGTTTCTCTATTTCACCAAGGAAACATGCAGCATCAGTGATCTCACTAGACACTGCACCTATAAAAGCCTCAGGTATGTCGCGCTTGATGATCATAAGACTCAAGCGATTAGAACGATCCCACTTCTCATAGATCTTCCTATCCTCGGAGGAACTAGCATCGTAAGAGGAGTGGATTTTTCCATTCTTAACGCAAGGTCTAAATCCATGCAACCATGAACAATGTGAATGTTCTCTTTCCAATCCTTAAAGCTGTCGCTCTTAAGAATTGAAACCGAATTGAGGTTAGCAGATACAGTAGCAAAAACTGAAAAATGAACAAAATGATTACATAAATAACATGTTCATAAAAAAAAATTTAATACCAACAATTTCAATAAATTCAAATAATGGTAAATCTCATCTCAAGACACCTAATGCAACATTAATATCAAGTCTTTGGACAATAATATTAACTGTTAGTGGTAATCTTGTTGTAATGATCAAACATTAACGATAATGCATGTCAAATAATAAATCTATGTTTGAATCGATTTATTACTCACATATAATTCCTTATAATTGTTACATGTTTACCATCACAAGTGTGTATGCAGTTCGGCCAGGTATTAATCTTCCTTTGGACCGATCAATACACGCATGAACTCACACACACACAACATCCAACATTCATCACGAACTATCTACATAAGAGAGGTCACTTTGGCAACATCATGTTTCAATAAGCTCGTTAAAAATGATGGACAAATTTATAAAGTACCAATAATTCGAATTTAATTGAACCTTTAATTAAAAATTTTATTTATTTTATTTTTGTTTTTAAAATACTGAAAACTACATGTCGTTTACTTACGCTATAGAAACGACATGTCGTTTCTGGTTGTCTTCAACCTCCAGATAGATCAAACGACCCAGCTCGAACCCAAATCAAAACACAACGGTTTCAAAGCCATTTTTACACCAAAATGAAGCCTTCAAACCCCAAAGTTGTTAGAAATCTAATTTTAGATGATTTCTAACCCTTATTTATACAAAAAAAAAATCCAACGAATTTGATATACCAAACAAATCAAAAACCAACAAACCAAACAATATATACAAGTCATCATTAATCGCAAATTGATGACTTCATAATCGGTGAACAACAATGGCTAAGGGACAAAAAATTGAAAAGAAAAAATAAATTTCTCAAGAAAAAACTGAATGTGAATGGGCTCTGATACCAATTGTTAGAACTCAAAAAAATCACATTCAATTTCAAGAGAAATAAACCATAGATTACCGGAAGCGTACCGGAGTCCATTAGATCGATTGCACATGGTATGATCTTCCAATCTGTAGATTTTCTAAAGTTTCCTTAGTTTCTTGTTGATGGGGTGCAAGAAAAAGGATGTGTCTCTCTGCAAATCGGGGATCATTACCCTTTGAAGTAACTTCCAGGCGGTTATAAAAAAGTTTTGCTTAATTCTAATTTTATCCCTCATCAAATTAGAATTTGCACTTATGGTATTCACACTATAATATCATGACAAATGTGCCCAAATTCATAAACTTAATTCTAAATTAGACCACAATAATTTTGACTTATTAAATGATGACCCAACACATTTATTAATTACATTGTAGTCCCAAAATTAATCCAACAATGAGTACTTTAATAATTAAGTAATTAGAGTTTGTTTTTGGGCCCCAACTAATTAGCTGTAGTAATTATGAAATACTAAATTTATTCTAGATTTTGAAAATATGTATTTGAACTTTGAGTGGAATAATCATGGAATGACGGCAGGAGATCGAAATTATCATTTTAAAATAAATAATGTAATTATTGTACGCTAAAAATGTGCTCATATTGTTCCTAAAAAGATCTAACGGTATTGATAGGTAAACTTGGCTAACTGAAAGTCATCCAATCGATCTAAGAGTTGTCAGCCGACCTATGGCAAGTCCAGCCTGCCAAAGGCCTGCCGGCTGACCTAAGGGCTACA